CTCAGGATGAACAGAGAAGTGGTGCCTCGATGCGCACCCGGGATCCGAACCCGGGCCACCAGCATCGCAGCGCGCGCACTTAACCGCCAAGCCACAGGGCCGGCCCAAGAAAAAAATTGATTAACTGGACTTTATCAAAATTAAAATCTGTTGCTATGCAAAGGTACTGTTTAGAGAGTGAAAATACAAGCCACGGACTGGGACAAAATAATTGATAATCATGTATCTGATTAAAATATATAAAACATATTTATATATATATTTATATTTTTATTTCATTCAATATATTTTTATATATATATTTATAAAAATAAATATAAACTATTCTTAGAAGTCAACAATAAGAACAGAAACAACCCAATTTAAATGGACAGACACTTTACCAAAGATATATGGATGGCAAATAAGTATATGAAAAAATGCTCAACATCAATTGTCATAGGGAAATGCAAATTAAAAGCACAATTAAACTACATTGCTAAAATTAAAAACAATAACACCAACAAAACGACTGACCACACCAAATGATGATGAGGATGCAAAACTACAGGAACTCTCATCCATTGGTGGTGGGAATGCAAAATGGCACAGCTGCTTTGGACGACAGGTCGGCAGTTTCTTGTAAGTTAAACATACGCTTAACCGTATGATGCAGGAATCCTAGTTATTTACTCAAGTGAACTGTAAACTTATGTTCACAAAAGTCCTGTACATGAGTGTTTATAGCAGCTCTATTAACAATTGGAAATAACCGAGATATCATTCCACTGGTGAATGAATAAACAAATTGTGTTCCATCTATACAATGGGATGCTATTCAGCAGTAAAAAGGAACAAGCTATTAATACGCACGGCAACGCGGATGAATCTTCAATGTATTTTTCTAAGTGGAAAAAAGCAGAAGTCAAAAGGCTACATATTTTATGATTCCATTTATATAACATTCCAGCAAATACAAATATATAGGGATGGAAAACAGATCTGTGGTCCCTAGAAGGGCAGAGTGGCTTCACAAGGGAATTTTTAGGGTGTTGGAACGGTTCTATATGGTACTGGGGTGGTGGTTACATAACTCTGTGTATTTGTTAAACCTTTACAGAGGAAACTTTATTGTATAAAAATTTAAAAATCAACCAGCATATATTGGGAGATCCCAGGATGCAATGCTGAGTGTAAGAAAACACTCTAACGGTATTACAAATGAATGACATAACTGCATTCAAGCATGGGGTACTATATATACATCTATTCTCTAGCTGTGTCTGCTGAGATGGCCTAGAAACAGTGATGCTCCAGTAGCAATGAGCACGTTCAGAACCCAGATCTTGGTCTCTAAATACCATTCTCCAATGAAAGGAATGAGAACTCCTTGAAGAAATGGTCTATTCTAGGGCTGGAGCAGTGAAAATACAAGATGAGTGACTGGAGTCTCTTATAGTGCCAGAAAATAAAGAAGTGCTAAAAAAAAGACAGGAGCTAACTTGAAAGAGCTCCCAAAGGTCAAAGAATAATTTGAGCAACAAAATAAATAATGATAATATTGGATTATATCCTGAAGAATAAAATAAATATCCCTGAGTCCATACTGATATAAATAAATGCTTGAATAATTAAATAAATGGAGAAGAAGACACAAATCTTCCTCCGGTAGTATCCCCAGTAATTTATATACACATTAAAGTTGGAGACGCTCTGATCTAGGAAATAACACCTAAGTGCCCTGCCTCAGGGTGAAAGCCTTACTTGGTTCTTTTACTCTCTGTACATATAATAATGATGAAGAGAGTCTCTAAAATATTTTAACCAATCCAGGTATATTGATACAACCAATTTCACCAATGTGATCCCATGTCTAGCATCCAATATGCTGATAAGCAAGCCACTGCTTCACTAATGAAAACCCTCTTCTAATGTGTATATACTAATTAGCCAAACATTTGTTGTTGAACAGTGATAGACAGCTGAAGGGCTTATAGTAGCCCCTGATGGGATGTAGTCCTAATTAAGTTGTTAGCTGACCCATCCCAAGTGTGAATCCCTGAGTAGGGCAACTAACTATCCCTACAATATTTCTAAACATCTACTTTAGCTGGAGTATATATGCCCACTTTTTCACTCTTCATATTCATTTGTGCCTTCTCTTTTTTCTTGCTTAATCTTGGCCAAAGAAAATGTTGCGTTGGGGAAATAGAATTAAAAGCAAAATATACTACCAACCCAGAAAACCTCTCCATGAAAGTAGAAGAGAAAGAAACAGTTTTATTAGTAAGCATTAAACTGGAATGTGCTGTGCATCACAGGTAAATTGTAAAAGAGATTGTAAAGACAGAAAGAAATCTCGCCCTTTCATATAGCCAAGAGGATACCACCCTTTACACATGCCGTAAGGATAAAGGATAACTAGTCCTCAAGTAAGAGGGCTGGACAGCACCATTTGTCACACATAGTTCCTCCTAAATTCACCTGTAATTGGGGTGACTATCTGTGTTAGCTAATTGGGCTTATGCAAAGAAAAAATAAACTCATCTTTATGACAAGAATTAGTTTTCCATCTTGGAGTAAGATGCCCACCGAAGTTAGGCTCCTGCCCTCTCAGAGAGAGACTGGGGTGTTACCTCCCTTGATGTTTATATTTCAAAGCTCCCAGGTCCTTGAGAAAACATTCCTGGGTTGTAAAACTGGCTTATTTTGCTTTTAAAAAGATTCACATACATCTCAAAGGGACTGAGAATTTACTTTTGTTTTCTAAAGAAAATTCCCTAAGAAAAGGGAGGTGGGGGTCTTTTCCCCTTTTTGCACCAGACAAAATTAGTTTTTTTCTTTTTCAATTTGTATTAACCCTTACAGTTGTCTGAGGTAAAACGCAAACAAAATAACACACACACAAATGTAAAGTATAAAAAATGAGAATGGTTATCTTTTGTAATTTAAATACTAAATCTGAAAGCAGTCCTAAAAATGTTCCAAAGAATCCTCTTAAAGTAGTGTTAACGTTATTGGGCTCCCAAAGTTGATTACTGCTAGAAAAGAATGCTTTGGGATGTGTATTTCCTGACATGATTGTTTAAAAACACATTCTTTTAATTCACTGTCATCTCCCTTATGGATAGATATGCCTAAATTCTTTGGTAAAACTAAATAGTACATCTTGTTTATTTAAATATGTGTATACTACTTATTGTGCAAGCTTACTCTAGAAGTGTATGGTGCTGATTCACTCCATCTGTATTCCCACAACACTTCGTACATATTTGCACTGTATCCTTTGTTATATTATAGTTATTAAAATAAATCTTAAAGAGGTGGAGCCTTAATTGTGCCAAAATTGATCATGTAATAGCTAGTAAGTTGATGTTAATACACGCATCACAGTGACCTTTGTTGCTTGGTTAGTTTTCTTAATGTTGTTCTAACATTCTAGTAACCAATCATAAAGTTATAAAATCATAAAACAATTTTTGATAAACATTATTTTCGTATTCCATTCTAGATGAATCAGATTGTTAATATGACTCAAATCAGGTAGAATATTGCCTTCTGAAATGCTCATAATTACGTGTTTGCTTCTCAGTAGGGAAACTGGGAGCCAAAAAAAAAAAAGTAAAATCTCTTTGCTTTTTAAAAAAATTTTCCATTTCTTGCATAGGACATATTGCTGGGAAGCCATTTTATAAACAATAAATTCTATTGAGGTATAAGTTTATTGCAATAAAATACACCTGTTTTAGGGAAACCTTTTTTTTTAAAACCACTGAAAAAAGTCAGTCAATCTATATCAAATAGTCTTCAGTTAAAATAATCCAGGTGGTTCTATAGCTTTGCACGAAGTCAATGTAAAATGGTGCAGTGGTTCCCGTGGTGTGGTCCACAGACTAGCGATGTGGCCATCACCTGGGAGCTTGTTAGGCGTGCAGACTCTTCCCCTCAACACGTTCCATCAGAAACTCGGGAGGACGGGCTAGCAATCTGTATTTTAATAAGTCTGCCAGGTATTTCTGATCTGAAATTTGAGAAGCATTAAATTAATAAAATGTTTCAGTGGTTTAGATAAAAATTTCAGGACACCTCAAGTTGACCTTTAGCCCAATTCATGGCTTAGAGATGCGTACTAGTAAATTAGTAACTCAATCTGCTTAATAACTTACTAGGATGTTTTATTTGGGGGCATCTCAGTTTTGTCTTGCTGAAGGAAGCATTCTAAAGACTGAATTACTTTGCTCAATTTTTAGTATTTGCTTAGAAATTTCACGTGACTGAATTTAAATATTTTGAGGTTCACACCTCAATAACTTTTTCCTAAAATTGCTAATCACTTTATAGTTTTTAAATTTATTAAACTAAATCTCCTCGTAGCAGGTCTTTATATCTTGTATTATTAATAATTTAGCAATACTATTTACATTAGCCAAAGAGCCAGATCTTAATCTTAGAGGCATGGTATTAACTTGTTGGTAGGCAGTGATGTTTACCAGAAGACTCTTGATTTTGCTGGATTTTAGTGCTGAGGTAGAGAAGATCAACTCTGAAACTAAAAATACGTACAATATTTGGAGTCATCCTTGTCCCCTCCCTCACCCTTGTTCAACATCTAATTAATCCCCAATTCCCCATCAGTACTACCTCTTAAATATCTCTGAATCTAACTACTTCTTTCTCTTAATACTGTCATCTCCTGGTCTGAATCACTATCAGTTTTCCCTTGGACTTCTAACAGATTTATCTGAATCCAATCTCACAGTGTGAATTAAGTGGTCTTTAATAATACACATCTAATCATGTCCCTTCCACTTAAAACTCATCAATGGCTTCTCATAAAGTCCACAGTCTACCATGGCCTGTGAGACTTTACATGATGTAGCTTCTCCAGTGTCTCTAGCCCAGACAGAGATCTATGTTTGTGTAGTTGCTCAAATGTGCTATGTTTCTTTCTACCACAGGGCCTTTGCACATGCTGTTCCCGCATGGTTCAGCTGGCCCTTCATTGATCTTTAGATCTCAGTTTAAAGATCACTTTTTCTGAGGAACTTTCCCTGATAGATTCTCTCCTTGCTCCATCCCCCATACCTGTATACACCTTGTTATATTCTCTCATAGCTTTCTCTACACTTTGGTCATTATACTTCTTTTCGTATTTGTTTGTTTACTGTATGCCTTCCCCTCTAGACTGTGTTCCATGAGGGCAAGGTCCATTTCTGATAACTGTAGTGCCTAGCTGGTGTATGGGGCCCAAACTATATGAGCGAGTGAATGAACAAATGAATGAATGAACTAATGAACAGTGGCGGCTTTCCACGTGTTAAAGTAGTATAAGATTTATTAAGTTGCTGGATTTTTGTGAACAAGCTGTTCTTTGTTTTTGTGTGTGTAGATTATGCTTGTGCTCTTCAGAGGGACATTTTGCTTCAGGGACGACTCTACCTTTCAGAAAACTGGCTGTGTTTCTATAGCAACATCTTCAGATGGGAAACTACAGTAAGACCTATTCTGATTTGATTTGTTGATACAAATAATCGCATAGATAGAAATGTATACGGTCCTCCTGAAAACAACGTATTTAGATTCCAAAGTGAATTTATATGTATTTGTATATCTTTACGTGTATACATGTAAATATATTTATGTGCTGTAGAAGTGTATAATATATTTTTCTTAATACATTGAGCTACATTTGCACATATTTAATGCAGTTGGAGAGAGATTTCAGGTTGAAAAAAGCTTGAACATACTTCCTTTTGACTGCAAAAATCATGTCTTACGTGACAGACTGTCTGAATGTTGTGTGTGTGTGTGTGTGTGTTAATGTGAACATGAACGCCCACATGTCTTTTCACGCTGTATCCTAATGTTAGAGACAGAAGCCGATGAAGGACATGACTGAAGGGAAGGATGTCTGACTGCTTACCATGTTTTTCTTAGAGAACACAAGCATGTGCTTGTTATTATTAATGTCTTCAGATTCTTCAGCTGAATATTCAGGATTAGACTGATGTGACACTTTGTATCTTGTGCTGTATACGTTTTGGAAAAATCCATTTTGCAATTTTTCATTCTTTTGTATGTTTAGATTTCTATTGCTTTAAAGAATATAACCTTCATGACCAAGGAGAAAACCGCTCGACTCATCCCCAATGCTATCCAGATTGTTACAGAGGGTGAAAAGGTGAAACACCGTTCTACCTGTGCTTTTTTACATACTGTGGAGAGAATCTGCCGCATACAGATCATCAGTGTTGGGAATATAGGCAGTTCTTGGAGTTAGGAATATCTAATAGAGATACCTTATATTTAATACTGGATTTCTATATAGTACTTAAATACTTATTGATAATTAACTTTAAATAACTGCTATCATTTTTTGTACTTTATAGTTTACAGAGAACTTTCTCCCATATTTTTCATTTCTTCATTGTAAGATGTCGGTAGGGTCAGCATTAGCAAAACATTCTTATTATTTCTAAATACCCTAATAATTCCATGTTTGTTGTTTAGTCAATAATACCTGAACAATAGCAACTGATAGAAAACAAATGGTTCTGGAGAACAGAGATTTGGGTAGCATACAAGTAAACACATAATCATTATAATATTTTTTTAGGGTAGCAATTATCTTTAACTGCCATCATTTTTATTATCCACCTATAATATCCACCATTTCTTAGTGGGGATACATGAAGTATCTTTCTTTGCCCACCTGGAAAATTGATTAGGGCTCTGTGTGTGACATTAGAAGCATAATGCTGAGAAAGAAAAAGAAATAAGGAAGGAAGGAAAGGAAGGAAGGTATGGAAGGGAACAAGGGGGAAGGAGGGAGGAAGGAAGGAAATGAAAGAAAGTAAAAAGGAGCAAGAAGAAAGAGAGAGAAGGGGGGAGAGAAACACTATCATGACGTTGAATTATTGTACTGATACCTTTTAATCTTACAGTTCCTTTCAAATGCACTTTAAGTTCTATTTTTATTTTTAAATAATCTCCTCCTTACAGAACACTTCCAAGTACAATACAAATAACTTTTCCCCTCTGAGCTGTCTGAGAGTGAGCTGTCACTCTGAAGCCTCATCACCCCAGACATCACCCCAGATATTCTAGCGTGTATTTCCAACAAAGACATTCTCCTACATGACCACAACATAATCATCAAGATCAAGAAATTAACATTGATCATCACCACTGTTCAACCCTCAAACCCTCTTCCATTTCCCTAACTATCCCAATAATATCCTTTATAGCAAAAAGACCCAGTTCAGAAATACATATTACATTTAGTTGTCATGCTCTGTAATTTCCTTATTCAGGAATAGTCTCTTAGTCTTCCCTTGACTTTTGTGCCCTTGACACTTTTAAAGATTACAGGTCGGTTATTTTGTAATATCTCTCAGTTGTGTTTGTTTGATACTTCTGTGTGATTAAATTTAGGTTATGCAGTTTTGGCAGAAATAACACAGAAGCGATGCTCTGTTCTTTGCATTGCATGCTATCAGATGGCACGTGATTTCACTTTCTACCATTTCTGGTGATCTTCACTTTGATCACCTAATTAAGGTGGTGGCTCCCAGACTTTACCGTAAAGTTAGTCTGTTTTCCTTTGTAATAATATTTTGTGGCAAGCTTCTTTGCAACTATGTGAATATACTATTTCTCATCAAACTTTAAATTTATTCATTCATTTAATTCTGTCAATATGACCTCATAGTTTCCTGTTTTATTCAATGAGTTACAATCCATTACTATTATTATTTATTTTGATGCTCAAATTGTCCCAAATTGGGCCAGTGGGAGCCCCCTCAAGCTAGCTCTGGTGTCCTTTTGACTATTTCAGCATTGTTTGAACATTTCCTTGCTTTCTGGCACAAGATGTTACAGGCTTTCCCTGCCTCAGCCATGGAATCAGTCATTTCTCCAAAGAGTGCTGGTTTCTTTTAGGGGAGACTGATATTTAGAAGCCAGTGTGTTCATTGCTACTGGGGTGTCACTCTTCCTGAGCCCTCTGAGTGGGCAGAACAAGGGTATATATAATGTATGTATAATTAAAGACCCATATGCATACACACACACATATATATCCACTTGTACATCAGTGTTTATTTCTCTATCATCTGTCTATCTATGATAAACCACGACTTCACACCAATACCTCTAATTCCTATCCAACACCACAGAGTTCAGTTTCGTTCTCTCCTTTTCATATTGGTAACTCCCTTCACTGACTGTGAGAGACCAGGCTCCCATTATCCTTAAAATATTTACTTATTTGATCTGGTGGCCCATATGTAACCGATCTTCATCTCCTCTGCCACTCCTTGCCCACATGGATGCCCTTTCACGGGACTTGGTTTCCGACACTTCAGGTCAGGCTGCTGCCCATCCCACCACGACGTAGGTGCTGTCACCATGTACAAGCTCTCCTCACCTTGCTCGGGTGGACACCCCATGCCAAGCACCTTCCCTCTGTTCACTCTGCCCTGCGCCAGGCCACCCCTCCACAGGGATGCCCCCCATTCCCTGCTTGTGCTCTGACATTCTGTGCCAGTCTGTCACTGTGTGTGGTCGCCTTCCTCACCCTGTTCAGAGTCTGACTCCCCAGCATAAAACCACCCTCATCGACTTCGTCACACTGCCGGCCTCACCTGCTCTGGCTCTGACGTGCCTTGTAGGCTGCCCCTGTGCATGGCCACACTCTTCACCATGCTTGGGCTGGGCCACCCAAGCCAGGCTACCCCTTTACATGCTCACCCTCCTTGGGCTCTGACTCGTGGCTCTCATCCGTTCTTGTTCTGACACCGTGCTCCAGCTCACCCTGTATGTGGAGGCCCTCCTTACCCACTTGGGCTCTGACACTCCGCACAGGGCAGCCCTTCTGTGTGGACGACCTCTTCGTTCTTTTCTGGTTCTGACATGCTGCTTTGGGCTCCCGCAGCTCCTCTGCCCCAGCCTCACCTCCAGTGTTGATGCCTGCTTTCCTCTGTTCCGCCAGCTGCTTTAGGGCTGAACTGTTGAGGAAGGGAAGAAGAGCTAAAATAAACTATTCTTCATTTTACGGTTAATACATGTATACGTTGCATTGCTTAACAAAATCATTAAACAGTTCCAAAACTAACATCTTCCTTTCATGCCTGTAATCCCCAATCCCATTGCTTTTTTAGAGGCAAACACTGTTATCATTTTGGTATGTATCTTTTCAGGCCTTTCAGACCTTCTTCCTTTGTATTTATATATATATGCATATATATATAAACATATAGTTTTGCTTTGTTTTTAAGGAAATGCTATCTTATACGTGTTGTTCTTCAGTCCTCCTTTCTTAAAAAAGAACTTAACGTTATCTCTTGGAGTCACAGGTTAGCACATATAGATAGAACTATCTCTGTTTATTAAAGTGCTGGATAGTGTTTCATAGAATGGATTTACCATGGTTTCCTTGACCATGAGTTCATCTCCAATGTGTTGTTATTACTAACAGTGCTGCAATGAGCAGCCTGACCATGCCTTCTTAAACTCACGTGTGACTGTTTCTCACATGCTTGATTTCAGGATCAAGCGTTTTAATTTTAATAATGATAACAACTAGCATTTGCTGACCATACTTTTTCTAGACACTCTTTTAAGTTCTTTACATATATTTTCTCATTTCGTTCTCACAAAAATTTGCTACTCTAATTGTTCTCATTTTGCAGATGGAGAAACTAAAGAAAAGTGACCTAAAGTCATAGAACAAGTGGGAGAGCCAGGACATGAACCAGGCAGTTTATTTGCAGAGACCCTGGTCCTAACCACCTCAGTGATCTCTTTTTCCATCATCATGGGGGAAAATCTACACTATTAGATATCCATCCCTCCCATGTACTCTATGACTAAAGGAAGGCTAATCATGGTACTTTTGGTTGTTTTAGGTTCTAGCATATGTTCTTTGCCCCAGCAGCTTAGAGATATCATTATCCAGAACACCTCCCAAATTAAGGTTATTAATGAACCAAGATTTATTAATAAATTTTTGAAGTTGGATATTGAGCAAAGAATAAAATAAGATGGTAATTTACGTAGATTATCCAGAAGGATGGGCGTGTTAAGTAGTTGAGAATGTGGTGGTTGTATACAAGAGTGGATAAAGTTGATAACAAGGTATTTAGTTTAAGAAGTGAGAATTAGTCAGCCTAGCACAGTGGTGAAAAAGAGATGGACTAGGAGATTTTTCTTATCTACATATCTGAACACAGGGTTGTAAGACCATTACAATACAAAAAGCAAAACAATTTGATCTAAGAAAAGGAAATAGGGGATAGTAAGTAGTGATTATTAGGTCACATATTACGTATGTGATTCTATTTGGAAGAGCTCCTAGATATATCCTTGTTATAAGAAGTTTTGCTTTATGAAGACTATTATATAGCAAGATTTCAATCTATTAATTGGAAATTAGCACTTTAAAAATCTTTCTATGAAAAGTGTAAACTCTCACAATATTATTTGTTTGACATTTTACTTAATAAATCAAACATAGAACTGAACTTTCTCATTCCTAAAAATAACCACGCAATCATGAAAATTCACTAACTAGAGGATTGGAAGAAATGATACACTGAGACTGTTTTTAGTGCTGCCACTTGTCAGATTTTGTCATAAAAGCCTATTTTAAAATATGACTTTGCAAAAATTAGTTAAATGCAGAGGAAGAGATAGGGCTAAAAGCAAACATAGAATTATAGATCGAAACATGCTGTTTTTCTTCTACAACATTCAAAGCAAAGTTTAGTGTTAACATGGGTGCTTTATATCTATAATTAGTAGAGATTAGGTATGCCTGTATTTTTTAGACGACTATGAAAGATGATATAATTTTAAATTAAGATCCTCAAAATAAACCTCTCTCTAACATCCACTTGTATTCTTTTCTTATTCTTTCTGTATACTTGGCTCAAATGGCTACCAAACATATCTCTGCAAAGTTAATAAATGAAATTTTAATTTTCTAATAAGTTTTAGATTAATTTTAATAGTTGAACTATGATGAACATAAATAGCTACCTATTTCAAGCTCCTTTGTCTAGTACATATTGATAAAATTGTATTTGTTGTAAGATACAGTTGTTTTTTTTTTTTTTTTTTTGTGAGGGAGATCGGCCCTGAGCTAACATCTGCCAATCCTCCTCTTTTTGCCAAGGAAGACTGGCCCTGGGCTATCATCTGTGCCCATCTTCCTCCACTTTATGTGGGATGCCACCACAGCATGGCTTGCCAAGTGGTGCGCGTCCGGGATCCAGACCAGCAAACCGTGGGCCGCCGCAGCGGAGCGCATGCACTTAACCGCTTGTGCCACCGGGCCAGCCCCAAGATACAGTTTTTAAAGACACTTGTTCATGCACCAGTTACCTGTTTTTTTCCTATTGTTAAAGAAAAATAGTATATAAAGTAGGCAGTAGTGACCTACTAGTTAGCTTTGATCATAGCAAGTGCCAGCAGACCTTTGTGACAGATTCTTTCCTCGTTTTTTCCATGACACTAAAATTGTCCTATTATTTTTCTTTGCAGTTTTTCTTTACATCTTTTGGTGCCAGGGATAGAAGTTACCTCAGTATTTTTCGGTTGTGGCAGAATGTACTATTAGACAAGGTAAGTGTTCATACCAGGGGCAGGTGTTTGTTATAATAGCAACTTCCCAATGTGTCCCTCAACAGTTTTGTGAGTTGAAAAGCTTCTTTTTATTTTTCTGGAGTTAGTTTTGATTAGACTATTCATATTCCAAGAAGAAACTTGAAGACAAAATCCATAGTTATAAGTTAAGATGTTAATTATAATCAGGGTAACCACCAAGAAAATAACTTAAAAAATATAGTAAGAGAAACATCAAGGGAATTAAAATGGTACACTAGAACTATCTGTTTAACACATAAGAAGGCAGTAATGGAGGAACACAGGGACAGAAAAGACATAAGACATACAAAAAACAAATAGCAAAATGACAGATTACATTAAATCATTAAGCATAAATGGATTAAACACTTCAATCAGAAGGCAAAGAAAGGCAGAAATGAATGAAAAAAACATGATCCAACTACATGCTGTCCATAAGAGACACATTAGATTTAAAGACACAAATAGATGGAAAGTAAAAGGATGGAAAAAGATATACCATGCAAACAATAACCAAAAGAGATCTGAAGTGACTATAGTAATATTAGATAGAATAAACTTTAAGACAAAAATTAATAGAGATAAGGAAGAATGTTTTATAATAAAAGGGTCAATCCATCTGGAATTCATAACAATTATAAACTTATATGTACCTAATAACACAGCCGTAAAATACATGAAACAAAAACTGGCAGAATTGAAGAGAGAAACAGACAATTCAACAATAATAGTTAGAGATTTCAATACCCCACTTTCAATGATGGATAGAGCAGCCAGACAGAAGATAAATAAGGAAATAGAAGACATGAACAGAACTATAAACTAACTAGAACTAGAAGACATCTGTGGGACACTCCACTCAAAACAGAATACACATCCTTCTCAAGTACATGTGGAACATTCTCCAGAACAAACCACATGCTAGGTCATAAAACAAGCCTTAATGAATTCAAAAGGATTGAAATAATACAAAATATATTCTCTGACCACAATGGAATGAATTAGAAATAAATAACAGAAGGAAATTTGGGAAATTCACAAAAAGTGGATATTAAACAGAACACTCCTAATTAATATGAGATACAGCTAAAGCAGTGCTTAGAGGGGAATTTATAAACACCTATATTAAAAAAGAAGAATGATCTCAAACCAATAACCTAACTTTCCAGGACCTTAAGAAATTAGAAAAAGGTGAGCAAACTAAACTCAAAGCAAGTAGAAGCAAGGAAATCATAAAGATTAGAACAGAAATAGAAAAAGAGAAAAAAAAATAGAATAGAAAAAGAGAATAGAAAAATAGAAACAATCAACAGAATCAGAAGTTCTTTCTTTGAAAAGCCCAATAAAATTGACAAACCTTTAGCTAGATTGACCAAGAAAAAAAGGGAGAAGATTAAAATTATTAAATTCAGGGGCTGGCCCTGTGGTGTAGTGGTTAAGTTTGGCAGCCTGGGTGTGCAGGTTCGGGTCCTCGACGTGGACTTACACCATTCATCAGCCATGCTGTGGCAGCAACCCACATACAAAATAAAGGAGGATTGGCACAGATGTTAGCTCAGGGCTAATCTTCCTCAAGCAAAAAAAAGGAAGATAGGCAACAGATGTTAGCTCAGGGCGAATCTTCCTCAGCAAAAAAATAAATAAAAGAAGAAAAAAAATTTTTTAAATCATTAAATTCAGAAGTGAGAGTGGTAACATTACTACTGACTTTACAGAAATAAAAAGCATTCATACTAGGAACAATTGTATGCCGACAAATTAGTTAACCTAAACGAAAATGACAAATGCCTATAAAGTCACAAACTATTGAAACTGACTCAAGTAGAAATAGAAAATCTGAATAGACCTATAACAAGAAAAGAGATTGAATTAGTAATCAAAAATCTACACACAAAAGCCCAGGCTCAGATGGTTTCAGTGGTGAATTCTGCCAAATATTTACAGTAGAATTAACACCAGTTCTTCACAAAATATTCCAAAAAATAGAAGAGGAGGGAACACTTCCCAACTCACTCTATGAGGCCAGTATTATCTTGATACCAAAACCAGACAAAGAACATCACAATAGAACTACAGATCAGTATTTATGTTCGTTGCATCTGTGTTCATTGTGTCTATGACTATAGACACAAAAATCCTTAACAAAATATTAGCAAACCACATCCAGTAACATATAAAAAAGATTATATGCCATGACTAAGTGGGATTTATACAAGGTTGATTCAACATATGAAAATCAATCAATGTAATTCACTCTATTAGTTGGATAGAGGACAGAAACCACATGATCATCTCAATCAATACAGAAAAAGCATTTGACAAAATCCAACATCCTTCATGATGAAAAACAAAACAAACTAGGACTAGCAGGAAGTTTCTTTGACTCAATAAGGCTCACAGAGAACATATTTAATGGTGAAAGAATAATGCTTTCGCCTTAAGGTCAGGAACAAGACAAGGATATCCTTTCTTGCCACTTCTATTCAACATTATATTGAAGGTTCTAGCCAGGGAAATTGGCAAGAAAAAGAAGTAAAAGACATCCAGATTAAAAATGAAGAAATAAAACTGTTTCCATTGGCAAATGACATGTTTTTGTATATGTAAAATTCTAAGGAAGCCAGTAAAAACCTATTAGTACTAATAAGTTCAGAAAGGCTGCAGAATACATGATCAAAATACAACAATCAATTATATTTCTATACATTGACAATGAACAATCTGAAAATAATATTTAAAAAAACCAGTTTATTCACAATACCATTGAAAAGAATAAAATACTTGGGAATAAATTTAACAAAAGAACTCTAAGACATACACTGAAAGTTATTCAACATTGTTGAAAGAAATTAAAGAAGACTTAAGTAAATTAAAAGAATCTCATACTCAGATTGGAAGACTTAATATTAAGATGGCAATGCTCCCCAAATTGATGTGCAGATTTAATGTAGTTCCTATCAAAATACCAACTGGCATTTTTTTTTTAGAAACTGACAAGCACATCCTAAAATTCACATGGAAATGCTAAGTACCCGGAATAGCCAAAACAATCTTGAAAGAGAAGAACAAAGTTGAATGAATTAGCCTGTTAGGGCTGCCATAACAAAATACCACAGACTGGGTGGCTTAAACAACAGAAATTTCTTTTCTCACAGTCCTGGAGGCTGAAAGTCCAAGACCATGGTGCTGGCAGGGTGAATTTCTGGTGAGACCTCTCTTGTTGGCTTGCAGCCTTCTCACTGTGTCCTCAGATGGCATTTCCTTTGTTTGTGCACACTCCTCGTGTCTCTTCACCTTCTTATATGAACACCAGTCCCATTGGATTAGGGCCCCACCCTTATAACCTCTATCGTAGTCAGCTCAGGCTGCCGTAACAAAATGCCATAGACTGAGTGGCTTAAACAACAGAAATTTATTTTCTCATAGCTCTGGAGGCTGGAAGTCTGAGATCAGAATGCCAACATGGTTGGGTTTTGTTGAGAACACTTCCTGGCTTGCCTATGGCTGCTTTCTTACTGTGTCCTGACATGGTGGAGAGTGAGAGGGCAAACTCTCTGGTGTCTTTTCTTATAAGGGCACTAATCTTATAATGAGGGCCTCACCCTCATCACCTCATTTAAACCTAATTATCTCCCAAAGGCTCCATCTCCAAATACCATCACATTGGGAGTTAGGGCATCAACATATGAATTTTGGGGGGACCACAATTCAGTCCATAGCAACCTCATTTAACCTTAATTTCCTCCTTAAAGTTCCTGTCTCCAAATTTAGTCACATTGGGGGTTAGGCCTTCAACATATGAATTTTAGAGGGATACAATTCAGTCCAGTAACATTGGAGGACTTGTACTTCCTGATTTCAGTGTTTACTACAAAGCTGCAATAATCAAGGCAGTGGACTTACTGGCATAAGTCTAGACATACAGATTAATGGAATAGAATTGAGAGTCCAGAAATAAAATCTTACACTTATCGACCATAAATGATTTTTGATAAGGGTGCCAAAATATTTGATGGGGAAAGAATAGTCTTTTCACCAAATGGTGCTGGAACAACTAGACGTCCACATGCTTAAGAATGAATTTTGACCCCTACTTCGTACCATATACAAAAATTAACTCCAAATGGATCATAGACCTAAATGTAAGATCTACATGTATACAACTCTCAGAAGAAACTGTAGGTATAAATCCTCATGATCTTTGGATTAGACAATGGCTTCTTAGAATGACACCTAAAGCTCAAGTGACAAAAGAGAAAAACAATACATTGGACTTCATCAAAATTAAAAACTTTTGGGACCAGCCCCTGTGGCCTAGTGGTTAAGTTTGGTGTGCTCTGCTTAGGTGGCCCAGGTTCGGTTCCCGGGTGCAGACCTATACCACTTGTCTGTCAGTGGCCATGCTGTGACAGTGGCTCACATAAAAAAAAAAAAAAAAGGAGAAAAAGGGGAAGATTGGCAACAGATGTTACCTCAGGGCAAATCTTCCTCACCAAAAAAAACAAAAAAAAAAACCAAAAAACTTTTGTGCTTGAAGGAGTCCAATCAAGAAAATGAGAAGACAACTCATGGATTAGGAGAAAATATTTGCAAGTTACATATCTGATAAGGTATTTGTATCCCGAATATGTAAAGAGCACTTCCAATTCAACAAGAAAAAGACAACCCATTAAAAAATGGGCAAAGGATTTGAATAGTCATTTTCTCCAAAGAAGATATACAAATGGCTAATAAGCACGTGCAATGATGCTTAATGTCATTAGCCATTAGGGAAATGTAAATCAAAACCACAACGAGATACCACTTCACACCCACTGGGATGGCTAAAATAAAAAGATAGACATTAACAAATGTTGAGGATATAGAGAAACTGGAGCCTTCATACATTGCTGATGGGATTGTAAAACTTTGAAAAACAGTGGTAGTTTCTCAAAATGTTAAACATAGAGTTACCGTATGACCCAGAAATTCCACTCCTA